CTCAGCCATATATGTATCCTATTTTACCTATGTGGGGAAATTTAGATAATCTTCCTTGACTATTACTCTTACCTCTCATCTTTGCATCTCTCAAATTTCTTGCCAAAACCTCTTAAAATGGTTTATAAGGCCATTCTCTTCCCTTCTGACAAATTTGTCCTCAAGGCCTGCCTCTGTAGTGATTCCAATGTGAATAAATTATTTATTTCAGGTGTAGAAGGAGATTGCTATACTTAGTATATACAAATAAAAATATCAAATGTATGTGTGTATATAAAGTATAATAAAAAAACCTTCATACTAAAAGAATATTAAGATATCAAGTTAGATCATTCCAAAATTAACATTATGCATGCAATCTTCATTCACCTAACACCCCTATCCCCATTATACATAAGATAAGTTTTGGACAGGCAACCATAATTCTGGCATTTCCTAATTAGAGTACGTGAATTTGCAACCTTAATGCGTTTTATTGTATCTCTCTGTGTATGTGTGTGTGTGATTTCTTAGATGTTAAAAAAAAATGAGAAAAACCACAAAAATTGATCATAGAGTCATATTGGCATCTACAGAGATCAACAGGAGGGTCAGAATCTTTAGATTCATAGCATAGAATTCTATAATTTGAGCTAATATTTTACCTGTCAGCAATAGTACGTTGTCAGCCTTTATCTGGACTAGCACTGGAAGGGGAATAAGACTAAGTCTGTAGTACAAAGAAAAGTTGGAAAGAGATATGCAAATCGCGGTTCGCAATTTGTGTATCTTTTTCCGCTTTTCTTCTGAAAGAGGCTTTTCCGACATTTTGCCCATCTACATGGGGCCAGTTGTCAGAAAAAAACCCTCTTTCGGAGCACCCTTTCTTCCTTGTAGAATAAGGTTTACAGGGATGCTGAAAAAATGCGTCTGCTTTTCCAAAAAATTGTTTTGGAAAGGCAGACGCATTCATTGAACACGGCAGAGTGTCTGGTTTCCCAGAAAAGCTCTGCAGTGTAGACATAGACTAAGACACTTTAGTTGTCCATTTCACAGATTTTTACAAAAGGCAGAGGATTGTTGGTACTCAGGACTCTTGGATTCCATTCCAGGCTCTAGAGCAGAGTGTACTATGAAGAGCAAAGACTTTTGTCCCATTTTCCTCAAGTCTCTGACTCCTTTTCCCCTTGTTCCCTCTATTCTGTCCTTGTCCCAGTCCTATGTTTACCTCTTTTACACCTTGGATTCTTCATCTCAGTCTCTCCAATTCTCTCCGATTCCTCACCCTAGTCTCATTTTCATAAGCTACCTCATTATCTTTTTTAAATGTGTCCTTTTCTATGATGCCTACAAAAAACACTTGATAACTGTTAGTCCTCTTACGTGCAGAGGAAACATATCATCCCTACCAGCATTGTCCTATTGTTTCCCTGTATATCACCTCCTATCTGCATGCATTTTTTGCATACAGACCAGGCCAGTTATTTCTTTGTTACCATCATGTTTATTTACAAAGAATTTATAGGTTCTTGTTTCCCTGAACACGGTAGGAACAAGCAACATAAGTCAGTTTTCCCAAAATTTCTCTCTTTTGGCTTCCAGTCAGAGCCATGCAACAAATGCTTTATCCTGGTTTTCTGCTTCTGTACACATGGGCCCACCCACTGTGTTTTCATTTAGTCAGTTAAAGGGAAAATCCCTCTTATTGGCCCTGAATTAGGCTATGTCTACACTGGCAGGTGTAAAGTTCTGATAGTTACAAAGCTGCTCACAGAGCACTGCAGGGAAGCTACTGTTGTGTGTCCACACAGTGCTCCTTATGATGGTGGAGCATGTCTACATTAGCAGCTCTTGCAACACCACAGAGAGCCGTGCATTGTGGTAGCTATTCCAATGTGCAGCTGATCACAGACGATATGTCTACACTACCACCCTAGTTCGAACTAGGGTGGTTAATGTAGTCATACGAACTTGCAAATGAAGCCCGGGATTTGAATTTCCTGGGCTTCATTTGCATTTTGCCGGGCGCCGCCATTTTTAAATGTTCGCTAGTGCGGACTCCATGCCCGTGGCTACACGCGGCATGAACTAGATAGTTCGGACTAGGCTTCCTATTCTGAACTATCTGTACGCTTCGTTCAGAGTTTGCAATGCTGCATGGAGCAGGCAGCATCACATTATCCAGGTTTCCCAGTTCCATTGCTCCATGGTCATCCTTCTATGTTGATAGCTGCTTTTCAACAAGAGTCAGGGGAAGAGGGAAGAGTGTGATAGGGAGTCTGTGTGTGTGTGGGCGGGGTGGAGGAGGAGACACTGTGTTTTGGGGATGTCAGAATGCTGTTTTACAAGTTCAGATGGTGGCAGGAAACCCCTCCTCAGACAAAAGAAGGGTAAAACCCTAACATCTCAGGCACCCCCTGCCTCAATCCATAGCTCTTTCCTCTCTCTTTCTCACTCACGCACAACTTCCTTTGTGTTCAACAGCAGGATCAATCCATCTGAATGATTTGCTCTGTGTCCTGGAGCAAATCAGCACAGCATTCAGGCTGTCTGAAATGGAGCCATGAAAGTGGATATGCACATACTTACAGGGCTGACCGTTCTAAACAAAGAGCAGAGGGGACTTGAAGGATTATGGGCCATTTCTGGAGGCCAGTCAGAATGCAACAAACAATTCAGGTGAACACACTGCCCTTCCCCCCCCAATGCTGTATCCAGAATGCAGCAAGCTCTATGGTGGTTTATGTAGAGTGCAGCAACTGTGGAGTTAACTGAGGGTAAGTCTAGACCACATGACTCTATCGACGGAGCCATGTAGATGAGTTTGCTAGACACAGGAAAATGAAGCGGCAATTTAAATAATCGCCGCTTCATTAACAACAAAAATGGCCACCATGCTGTGCCGATCAGCTGTTTGGCAGCATAGCACAGTAGTCTGGACACTCCGCGATTGACAACGGAAGCCTTTGTCGACCGCTCTGGTAAACCTCATTCCACGAGGCATGACGGAGCAGTTGACAAGGGCTTCCGTTGTCGACCGTGGAGCGTCCAGACTACCGTGCTGTGCTGCCAAACAGCTGATTGGCACAATGCGGCAGCAATTTGATGAAAATGAAGTGGCGATTATTTAAATCGCTGCTTCATTTTCCTATGTCTAGCAAACTCATCTACATGGCTCCGTCGATGGAGCCATGTAGTCTAGACATACCTTGAGGGCCTTGCTAGTGTGAACATCTCAGGTACAGCGCCGGGAGCTGATTTACTGCACAGTGTAGACTCGGTCTGAGTTCTTGCTCAGCCAGTTCCAGGAGGTCCAATGCCTTGGGCAATGGCGTTTACTGTTTCAGCTATCTTCCTCCATAATGGAGCTTATTGCTTCTTTCTTTAAGCCTGACTACTAGCATAGCCATCCACATCAGTGGGAGCCGAGATTGCCCATAAATCAGACTTTTTGCTGGCAGTTGCTAAAACCCTGTAACACAACAATAATACTAACTGTCCTTAACCAGTCAGTCCTGGTCTCCATTACCCATGCAGCCATCTCCCAGTTGCAATCTCCTACTCCAAGTTCCTTAGTCCAGTCTTTTGCATCCACCATCATCCCCCTTTCCCGTAAGTCCAGCTCTGTGTTTCAAATTCGACTCTTTTTCTCAAAGATGCCTGGGCATCAGCGGAGTGCAGGGAATTGAGAGTATAGAATTGAGAGCCAGTCAGCAGGCTCTCATCTCCAATGTCTTGCTCTACAGCGACTCTTTTACAAACAGACAGATTTAAGTAGCCAAACTTTTATGGGGGCCTGAATAGAGTCCAGACCATCAGCCATTATGTTGCCTCACTGCACTCACTTCAAATGTTTTTCCCTCTAGTTCAATGCTCAGGTAGATAAGCAGATTCACAGTAACTCTGACTGAGATTATGAAGATAACCGTAGCTTAGAAATTATATCAAATGTTTACAGGAAAACAGTGAGCTGACATTCTGCATATCAAGCTTGAGATCAATCTAATTTATAATCACAGCAGCATAAAACTCTATAAAAATGATTATGAAAAGAATATGGTTAAAGATTCCTACCTGAAACATGTTTCCAAATGCATGTGCTAAATTCTACAGTTACAATTGCATGAGTAGTCCAGGGCCCTGGTCCCTGAGCAACTATCCATGAGGGCAAGTTTGAAACCCAGTTGACCTCAATAGGGCTATTTTTAAGTGAATAATTTTTTTAATCTTTCATTAACATTAACAACAAATACACACACATACATACATGCAGACAGAGAGAGAGGGGGGGGGTATGTCTACACTACTCTTCTAGTTCGAACTAGGAAGGCTAATGTAGGCATTCAAAGTTGCAAATGAAGCCTGGGATTTAAATATCCCGGGCTTTATTTGCATCTTCCCGACCGGGTGCCATTTTTAAATCCCCCTAGTCCAAACTAACTGCCCGTGGCTACATGTGGCAGTCAAACGTTAACTCAAACTAAGCCTTTAGTTCGAGTTAACTATTACACCTCATTCCATGATGGTGCTGGACCAGGGAGGTTCAACCTGTACTAGCAACTGATCCTGGATGATCCTTTAAGGGAACTCACTATTTTTTTTCCCCACCTTTGAGAAGGGTGTGCCAAAGTGACATGAGAGTGGATGAGGGGGGGAGCAAAATGCATGATATACTATGTCACACATCTCTTTCCTCCACCCTCATTTTGCCCTTTTCCTATTGAGGACTGAGATCCAGTCTAATTTTTCTTGTCTTTGCACCAGTTTTATACGTGAGTAACTTCATGATCTTTAGTGGCATTGTTCCTGATTTACACTGGTGTGAAGAGAGTTGGGCCAATGCACTTGAAGAGAATAATCTTCTGTGACATTGTACAACCAAGGCATTTGTAAATGGACAGTTGACCTACCCTTCATCCTGTTCAAAAGACCAAAACAAAATGAGCATAGTTGCTGAAAGTCAGAATAAAATAGAAGGTTTTAGCATTTTTTCTTTAAACATTGTATTTTCTTCTGAACAGGTGTGGATATGATCTCACTGCACCAGATGAAGATTCAGAGACCTATGACAATGCTTGCAGATGTGAAACAACTTATATCAGCTGGAGGGAGCATGAATCAGAAGAATGATAAAGGAGTTACACTGGTAAGCTTGGGCAGTACTTGTTGATTCAGATCCTAAAGCTGTGAACATGCCAATGAAGTGAACATATATTTGCAAGTTGGGATCTAAGGCTTTTGACTTCAGTAGGGCTCTGTGCCTGTACAGAGACAGTTAAAGGATGGGGGATGATGATCCAACTTATGCATCTGCCCAGAGCCCCACTGAAAGCAGTGTGCCTACATGCTACATAATGCAGAATCCAGTTACTGGTTTGTACAGGATTTGGAATTTTAAAGTGAGTGGGTATTGCATCTATTTTACGGATGTGTTTCTTACTCATAATCATTGTTTTGAAAACTTCATGAACAATACACATATGCATCTATATCTGCCTGTGAACATTTCACTGCTGAGAACTTTAAAAATTCAGAAGCAGAAAAATGTTGTACTTCACAGATTTTCAAGCCCATGATTATATGACTTCCAGCATAACACAGGCCCTAAACTTTCACCCAGTGAGTAACTTCTGGTTGACTCACAACTTCTGGGCAGGGACGGATATAGGGCAGGGCGAACGGGGCGGCCGCCCCGGGCCCCGCGCTTCAGAAAGCCCCACGCATGCGCCATGGCAAAGGGGGGGCCCCGCGGAATTATGCTGCCCGGGGCCCCGCAAAACGGTCATCTGCCCCTGCTTCTGGGTGAGCTAAAGCATATCATTCAGAAAGCTATCCAGTTTTGATTTAAAGACTTCGAGTGGCGAATCCACCTTATTTCTAGGAAAATTACTTCAATGATTAATAACTATCACCAACCAAAATTCATACCTTATACCTAGTCTGCATTTGTTCACACTCCAGGCACTGTATCTTGTTACACATTTGTCTGCTATATAAAAAAATGTATTATTGTTTTTCAAAATTGATGCCAATTAAACTATCAAGGTCTATTGTATCAAAATAATATCAAATTATTGCTTCCTAATATAAAATATCAAAAGCACAGCTATTAGAGGGTATATCTCCAAGTACAATCACTGGTATCATTATATACCAGGAGGGAAAGCCAGAGAATTTGTCCTCAGATTCCAAATATGGAATTTCTTGACTATAAATTCTTGGATATTTGTTGCAAATAGTCTAAAATCAGAAAATTCAGGTCTCTGAAATGTTGTCTGATTAATTTCAGGTTTTAAAAATATCAGTGTTGCCTTTAAATTATCGTCACTTAAACCATTAATTAAACATGTGAGTAACAGCAGGGGTTTACTTTCATAGCTAGGATTATCCCTGGGAATTTGCATTCTAGCCCCCAAGAGAAGACATCAGAGACAGTTCTTAGGCCATGAGAACTGCCTTCACATGGTCAATATTACCAATATCCACCCAAGCCTCCACATAAATAACAAAAAACTAAGAAGTCCTCATTCCCAGCTGCTTCTGCTTACACATCTCTGCTTATTCCCAGATGCAGGCTAAGGACCAATTTTGAACTAATGGTTGAAACCAAGGCACCACTACCTAGTCCTATCCCTGTCACCTTTGGAGACCATCTTACTCTCTTTACCCTACTTTTTATACTTAATAAAATCACTTTTTTAATTGATAAACCAACTGTAAGTAATTGATGGGGGGACAACAGCTACGAATATTGCTTTTTCCGTGATAAAGGGGATGAATAATTTTTGAGCTTACTCTCAAACTTTTATACAGAATAAGACGGGTTTATCTGGCATTCTCGTCCCGGTAGGCCTGTGCACCTGGGTGCTGTGTCATATACCTTTGACTGAGCCTTCCCACCCAGAGCCAAGCTGCTCTCAGTGTCTATGTTGCTTTGCCGTGGTAGGTAAGCTAAGTGGTATCTCAGTGCATCAACTGACAGTCACAAGGGGATCTCTGTGACTGAACCCATTACAGTTCTGTCTTCACACAGCTGCCCACTGCTTGATTTATTAAGAACTTGATCAGGACCTTATCAACAGTCATTAAGCCTATATCTCAACTGGCCCGTAGCCTTGTACTTTCAGTACTCACAGGCCTGGCCTTCAAGCCAATGGTGACATGTGACATGACCTGTCTATTTATGAAGGATCACTCCTAGTGACCATAACTGCACACAGAAAAGTCAGTGAACTAGAAGCTATGATGGTGAATCCTCCATATATACTGAGATGATTTTCCTTAAGTTACAGCTCAAAGTCCTCTCCAAGATTGTTTCTGAGTTCCATGTTAGTTAATTGGTTCACATATTGTTCTTGAAATCCCATGCCTTTTGCATAGATAGGGTATCACACCCGCAATGTCAGATGTGCCCTGGCATTCTACCTACCAAGAACCAAACAGTTTAGAAAATCTCCAAGACTCTTTGTTGCCACAGCAGTATGGTTGTGTGGGCAGGCCATAGTCCACAGAGGGTTTCTTAAGTAGGTTTCAGATGCATATTACAATGCTACAAAATAATACACCTTTCCCCTCCTGGGGGTATCATAGCTTAGTCTACACAAGCACAAATGGTTTCCACAACATTGCAGAAGAGAGTATGCAAATGAACCATGAGAAAATGCTAATCCGTGCTTCATTTGCATAGGCTCTTGTGGCAAAACTCGTAGTGTAGATGTAGCCATAGGGATTAGCACTTGAAGAAGATATGGGAATTATGTACTGTCAGTGGAGGTTTTTTGAGATGTGTGGTATCTCTCTGTATTCCACTGCCTACCCTCCTTCCTCACTGCTCTGGATTCCTGTAGGATTGTGGTAAGAAGGGGAACCAGAGAGGGTGTGACTCACACCACCTATTATACCTTTGCTCAGGAAGACAAAAGAAGCTATAATGCATGGGCAGGTCAACATACATTACTTTGAAGAGCTTATGAACTAGGCCGCATAGCATGCAGGATGCATACTTATATGTGGAATAACAGATCTCAAAGTATCTCCACTTATAGTAACTAACCTCCATTCTGTTATGAAGAACAAATATGCACTATCAAGAGAGAAGGTTTAGAGAATCCTCTTTCAGTTCATTGCACAAATGCTGGAACCTGGCTAGTTCTCAAAACTTGCCAAAAAGGGATATTTTTGTTTGAATGTCTTTTTTTTTATTTTAATTTCTGAACATCATTTGTTGTCTGACAACAAATATAGAGTGGAACATTTTCCTTTTGTTCAGGATTTATGTCATGCAAAGCTTTTATTTTGTGATCTGGGAGATAAAATATCCAAGAAGCATGTTCCAGCAACAGACTGTGTTAGACTGATTTCCTCCTCATTCATTAATATGGAGTCAATCAGTCTGTGTCAAAGGATCTGGCAATGGGCTTTTTGCTGTACCTGATAAACCTATCTATACAAAGACAATAGCAAAAAATCCTATTTCTGGCTAGCTGAAGGAAGCCTGTTTCATGGCGATATCATCCAGAGACTCTGTATTTCATGGCTGAGAAATAGCTGTTTTAAAATTCAAGGGAAACTAAAAAGCTTTTACAGAATGTGAATTAATAAGATTGCAGCAAGGTTTTTTTTTAATGCTTTTTTCCCCTATGCTGTTACTTTTTTCTGTGTATAAGCAACTGAATAGATTTTATGTTCACTGAATGGTTTTTATGCCTGGAGTTGTAATGCCAGTCATAGTTAGAAGCTGAACACAAATACATTCCCTATTCCATAACAGTTAGGCGTACCAAGGAGATAAACCTATCACAAGAATGACAGGCTACATCAAACCCATGGCCAATTTATCAGAGCAGCCTAGCATAACAGCCTCCCAAGAGTGATATAACTTTCTTTTAAATATTCAGTCCACACTTTTCAGGAACAATGTAAAAACTACAAGTGGGGGAAAAGGCACTATGAGTTCTAGTCAAACAGCAATACATTAGGGTATAATGTGTAGTTCTGAGCATTCATTAGCAGAATATTTTATTTCCTGATTTGGTACAACTCTGGCAGTCCTCACTGGTGAAGCTTCTATGGGGTGACTCAAGATACAGAGACACAGATATGGAAGTATATAGATATGTAGGTTTGTGTGTACATGTACATAGAGAAAGAACATGCTGGACAACAAAACTACATTTCTTCTATGAGAAATTTCCAGTGGAAAATCTTTGAAATATTTTAGTCAAAAAGTGCTTGTTTTCCCCAGTGAAACATTCAACAGATTCAGAATGACAGTTTTCATTCCCAAGTGACATTTTGACATACAATATAATTTTATTTTGTTTTAACCAAAAGGTCAAAACCATATCTTTAGTCAAACTAAATTTAAATTTTTGTTTTCTCATGTTTCCTGAGTAAATCAAAACTTTTTATTGGAATTGGCATTTTCCCACCAAAAACCTTCACTGTTTTGACAAAACTGTGTTTTTTGATGGGCGACCTTTCCACAGAAAAGCTCTGATATAGCTCTTTATCTACAATGGCCTAAGTGGAAATTATGTGTATAAATTATAGGCATAGTTGAAGGAGAAATAAGTGGGAAAGGGAGAAAACAGTCCCAGACCTGCTAAGGGTTGGCTTCAGGCAGAAATATCTCAGAAAAAGATACCAGTTTAACACCTGTTGCCCTAGGTTAAGAACAAGGCCACATATAGCAGTTTCTCCCTTCTTGCCTTAGTCTAGTTTGCTCAGAATCTTTTCGAATCCTGGCTACATGAAGTTCTGGCAAAAATGTTTCTCTGTGGATATGTAAAGGACAGTTGTTTTGTACTGCTCCCTTCCTGCTTCCTGGAAGCAGAGGAGAATGCTTAGACTCATAAAAATATTACCTTGAGAACAAATAACATTGATTTCTAATCTGAACCATTCAAATTTGAGACATTTGAAATATGTCTCCATGCATAAAAACTGGGTTTCCAAGAGAAATCCCTAATGGCAGATAGTGTGTCCCTGATACAGTATTTTCTATTGTTCTTTTGTCTAGTCATCCATTTAGTTAGTAGGGTTTGTTTGTTTTTTAATCTTACAGCCTCTTTTATGTTGGTTAGGTTTTGTGTGTTCATATATATAAGTCTTGTCTGGTTTTATATTGTATTTTTAATTACTATTCTCCTCCAGTGAAAATAATTCACACGTATAAATGCAGAATTCATAAGAAGTCACACATTGAAATAACAATTTTCATAGTTTATCATCTAATTTCCAAAATTAATCTTTAAGAAGTAAAGCTATTGCCTGTTCTTCATTTTTCCCTTTCTCCCCCATTCTTTAAAACCTCATCCTTTAACCTCCTCCTCAATGTGATGGTTTCAGTAGTATCCCCATTTCTCAGCTCAGTTATCATTTTTATTCTTTAATATATCATAGAACTGACTGGTCCCAGTTCTAATCTTTTAAACAATGAACTATGTAAGGGAGATGAGACCAGAAAAAAAATAGTGGAGTAACACTATAGAAGTTTTTTCTGTAACTATGACTTCCCCAGCAAAACCTCTGCAAAGAGTGTCATTGAGTGTTAATAAATTAAATTTGGAATAATAAAGCATCATCTGCCAGATGAGATTTTAAAACCGTGAAAAATGTAAAATTCGGCTATACACCATGCTCTAATGAAATATATGAATTTGCCTGGGCTCATGGAACCTGTTCAAGGTGCATAGGTTTGAAGGCAACGATAGGAAACATGAAATAAATAGAAAAGGAAGGGTGATAACTTTAAATTATAATAGAATCTGTGTTGGACTAAATCATTAATGCCACACTTGATACTGATTGGCTGGAATTATCCTTTATTCTGAATTTTCCTGCTTTAATTTCTAAGCACTGAAAACTTCTTCTCAAACTGGTTTTTTGCAACATTTGGAATATTGTTCTCAAATACCAGTTTTACCTTTCTTATATTCATAATTTACCCCATTTTGAAAGAAGAGTATTTTTACATCTCCACAAGTTAAATCTTTGGGAAAGTGAAAATGCATGCTAATCACATATGTCTTGTGAAAATCTTTATAATAAAACACTTATTTTGTTTTATTCACAGCTGCATATAGCTTGTGCAAATGGGTACAAGGATGTGGCATCTCTGATCCTGGATCATGGTGCTGATGTCAATGTCATGGATAATCAGTACTGGACCCCTTTGCATTTAGCTGCAAAATATGGACAGGTAAAGTTTGATTTTTCACCTGCATGTCTTTTTAGTGTATAGTGTAACATCTTTTTCAGTAGTGAGCGTTTTAAAATCAGAGAGCTGGGAATATTTTAATGTATTAAAGAATAGTTTGATTAGATAAATAGAGTATGTAATAACAACATATATAATAATTCAGGCATCACTTGAAAGTCAGTTTGCTGCTTAGAATCTTTTCCTGCTCAGAGAATTTACACAAACCTTTTGTGATTCCAGAAATGTTTTAATTAGAAGTAGATGTAAACATTTATATAATGACAAGGCCAAAAGGCTGCTATTGCAATTGGAGCCATGTTTTGCAAGGTGCTGTGCAAACATAGAGAAGACACATTGTCCAGGAAAGGCTTAATGTGAAACGATGCAAACTGTGTAAACCAAGAGTTGGAGCACAGTGATATAATGTACAAGCCCATTAAGATGGTGAAGAACTGGCATCGCTTCTGTAGTTACATATTTCCTTATCGGTGATGGGTTGGTTTGTTTGTTTGTTTGTTTGTTTTTAATTGGGATAAAGATAGGGTGAGGAATGGGGTAGCTACAAGAATAGAGCAATGAAAAAAGAAGAGAAAGAGGAACTCTCAAGAAGCTGCCACTGTTGATCTTCCAGGGTTCAAATAAATGGTCTAATTAAGACAGCTAATTCAAACTGAGAGGGTCACTCTGGTCGATGCCAGTAACCGTGCTTTCACGAGGAGTAAGGAAAGTCGAACGAAGAGTATTCTTCCTTTGAATTCCTGCAGTATAGACAGTGCCAAAAGCCGAGTTAAGCTACTTCGACTTCAGCTACACAATTAAAGTAGCTGAAGTTGCGTATCTTAACTTAACTTTGTCCTGCAATGTAAACATACCCTCAGAGTTTTACACCTGTTTAATTTACCCTTTCTTTGGGGGTTTGGTTTTTTTTTCTCTTGCACTCATCATAAACAGTTCACTCTAATGATCTGATATTCAGTATTTAAAATATTTAAAATTGGAATTATTAGCTACATGCAATAAATTCACATACAGGTACTGTGGTGTTCCCTGACTTCCAATGTATCTCTTTTAATCTATAGGTAAGACTATAAATCTTATTGAGACAACTTGCTGTCCTCAGTAAAAATTTGTTGTCAGCAAAAATTGTATTCACGCTAATTTTTTTTTGTAGGGGGGGGAGGAACCCAAACAAACATTTGTGCTTTATGTTTTGTTGCAAATATTGTACATTGATGCCATCTACTAGAGTTTAATCAAGACAAAGCTGCATTGCAAAGGAGCATCCACAAAAGGACCACAGCTAGTGACAGATTTTGCTGGGCCTTGGTATAGGTGGGGACTCAGCTTTGGGACCCCAAAAGAGGCAGGGCTTCAGGCAAAAGGGCCAGGGTTGGGGCCTGGCCTCCTCAACCCAGCCCTCAGCACCACCTGGACTTCATCACACAGGGATCCAGCAGTGATTTAAATGGCCTGGGCCTTGGACTGCTAATGCTGCAGTAGCAGGGATGTGGCTGGGAGCATCAGCCCCTTTTAAATTGCCAGGCCGTGGAGCAGTGGATCCTTTGCCCATCGCCATCGGTAGCCCTCCTTACAACACCGATTTTGACATTCATTGAGCCCTCCATTTATTGACATGGGGAGGGGTGTTCTGGGCTTGATTTTGGGGCTCATGGAATATGTCTTTTCTCTTAGCTCTGGTTTACACTAGGACTTTGTTTTGAAATATGCCCCCCCCCCGTAAGCAGAGGATCCACACTACCAAGCCTGTTATTTCAAAATTATGGGCCACAGAATTAGAAATCTGTACTCCTGCTTTTCATCAGGAGTAATGCTAATTCCAAAATAACAGTAGCATGAACACTTCAGTGCCACTCTTTTGAAATAGGTATTCCCCAAGTAATTTGAACTAATTACTCCCAGTGCTTCCTGGGGTTCTAAGTCTGAAATAGCACATTCACATTAACAGAGCCTGCCTTGGACTAGTTTCAAGGTTTGCCGATAGTGTGGACATGCTAGTTCAAATTTGTTACATCAGGAGTTAAGTCAAATATAGTAATTTTGAAATACTTCCTTAGTGTATCCATGGCCTTACAGTGTAAATCCTCCTGGTCCACTTCTATACACTAACCTCTGTTCAGATTATTTTGCATCTGCCAGAAGCAGTCTTGGTAATAGCTCTGTCTGGGGTGTGGTGAGGGAATGGGAAGGAGGGGAAAGTATGGCCCGAAAAAATATGTTTTGAAATGTAATCTCAAAACCATATTTCTTTTTTACATTTTATGCCATTTCCAATGTCCAGTTCCTCATTTGGTTTGGCAAGAACCATTAACATGCATACATGATTCAGGAATGAGACCTTTACATTTCTGATACATTTTTATGTATAGTTATTAAAGAAACTTTACAAAAATAATAATGTGGCATGCTGGGAAGCAGAAACTTCTTAATTCTGATCCTGGTTCTGTGACTGATTTATTTTGTGACTATCAGCAAAGACATTTAGGTCCAAATTTTCAAAAGTGTCCAATAGTATTAGAAGCCCAACCTTCGGACACCTATGTGTCTCTCAGTTTGGGCACTCAAAATTCATGGACACTTTTGAAACTTGTTCCTCAGCTGTCCAATCTGTAAAATGGAGATAATCTACTTACATGTCTGATGGTAATTCTGGGGGACTGATAAATAAATGCGTGTGAGAAACTGAAAATATAAAGAACTAGATAAAAGCTAATAAAAATAAGCTACAAATGTTGTATTATTAAAAGTCAATGTAGATAATTCAGTGTATCAAGTATAGTTGACCTCTATGCAGTGTTCAATAGACACAGTAAACCTTTTTCTGTTTCAAAGATGTGGATATAGTGGTTATTTATAGGTACTTATACAGCTATGCTTATGAGTAATTAGATGTACATGATGAGATATGAAAGGTGGACAGTTGACTCTTTAGGACATAATACTGTTTATAATAGGTTCAATTTATTTAAAAACATTCTTCTGGTTTCTAGCTAGGAAAGCTAGACAAGGTAGCATGAAATAATATGATGCCCTTTATATTTTAAAAAGTCCTTTCTGATTCAGACTTCCTCACATCCGCAACTAGATTTCATTGTAAGCACCTATTCAGTTCCAAAAAATTACAAAGACAGGATTCTATTTTAAAATGTAGGTCACACACATATCACAAATATATAGAACAGTTGAACTGACAGATTGTGCACCTATATTAATGCCCCCACTAGCTAGCTATACAATCTATCTTCAGGTTTCTAGAAACATTCAGAGAGAAGACTTGGTCCTCAGAATTACACATTGATTAAAGTTTTGTTTGATTAATAATTTAGTATACATGTTAATGTTTGTGTTCTCATTTTCACTATGTACATAATTGCTAACATTTCCTTTCCCCACTTTGTTCAAACAAATAATATACTTCATGACAAGAAGCAAATTAGTAGTCAGGTAAAATAATGAACTTGAGACTTATTAATTTTTCAGTTTAAAATATTAACCTTTACTTCTGAGATGTATTCTGGGACCATATGTATTGGTAGCAGATAGTTTTGTCCGATACTTAGGTTCAAAGATCAGTGGGAATTATGTATGTAGGGTTTTAGTTTATTCAAATATTTTTGAACGGGTAAATTCATAGCAAAATTTTTTCTCTCACAGTAAGCTATTTTTCACCTTAGTATGTATTTGTTTTAAATGGGGGCATCAATGAGGATTTTGTGTGATAACTGTGTGTTCTAAATTTGATTTGTCTCATTTTGTATTGTTTTGTGTTCTCTGATGAGGTCCAAATTTGCATTAATCGACATGGTACAGAAACAATGAGAACATTTTCTGAAGAACAAATCTTTCCATGGGAGGAACTGGGCTTTAGTCACAGCTCCACTTCCTCCCCACCGCTTTGAGTGGAGCATTCTACCCTGTATAAGTTACTGCAGCTCATGGCCCATTTGTCTGGGCTAAGTACAGTGCACAACATTTACTTCTCAACATGTACTCAGTCAACTATATCTCACAGTAATTTAATTTATAGGCATTGGAAAGAAAAGAAATGCAAACATATTGCTTTTCCAGAATTTCTTAAACTAGGGAATAAATTATCTGGTTTTCGAAACATCAATTTTCAGCTCTATCATTTTGCAAGGCCACCAATCCTCTCACATATAACGTCAGCAGATTTATTATTTTTATTTATTGTGCTAGTACCCAGGAGTCTCACTCTGGGGCAAGGGACCTCATTATACTAACAAACATATGACAGAAAATGGTCACTCTCCCCAGATAGCTGTGAACAATGACAGATGAGGAATACTGCACCAACACTCACTGCTGTTAACAAATAAAACACATTTACTTTTTTCTGTGTATAGTTAATGAACAATACATTTGTGAATATGTTATCTTATTAACACCATCGATAATTTAGCATTTTGTTTTAACAGATAACAGTTGACCCAATGTGGGTTCTGTTCAGACAAGGTTACAAGTAAATCATCTTTAAATAGCTTTATCAAGAAAGTCTCATTAATTATGGAGGAAAATATTTCACGCAGGGGATAAGCCTTCAGGATTTCTTTGTTTTGTTTTTTTTAAATTATTCTTATTTTGAAACATCTTTTGCTCTCAGTATGAATTTATATGCATCTGATATTTAAAGTGTACTTCATTACAAATGTGATTTTTCTTCTATGTATGTGATGCTTTATAAACATTGTTAGCATTTGAGAAATATATTAGTTTAAGGATAAGTCAAGTTAAAATCTTTTCCATAATTAATATACCTCAACTGCAAATATGTTTGAGGGGAAATTAGTTTATGATTAGCAACACAATGTATTGGCATTTCAGGAATGTGCTGAATAAATGTTAAAATGTAACTTTTACACCTCCACCTCTTGGAATGGAGTCTGTAATACATGTTAATGATTTTAGCTTTCTTCAAAAGGCTTACTTAGGCTATGTCTACACAGCAACATTATTTGAAAATA